GGGATATTGTTGAACCAATCGTAAACCAAACAAACCTGTTTGCTACACAGTATTTGACTAAAGAGGGTACAGACGTTTCATCAGGTTCTAGAATACATGCTTGGAAACCGGTAAACGCTTCTGAAATATACCGGTTTTTGGCTCTGATTGGGTAGATGGGTCTTTTTAAGTGTACTTGCATTTGGGGCTACTTGCTGGAAAATAGGCATACCATATGTATACCTTTGGCTCGAAAGATTGTGACCCGCAATCGATTTGATATGATTTTGAAATTAATCCACTTTTCTGATAATGAATAATGAACAACAGTCAGATGATCCATTAGTGAAGATAAAAGACGTATTGGATATGATTATCAGAAACTTTCAGTCTGTATATACACCTAGAGAGAAAATGAAAGCCTCTTGTACTTAAGTACAAGACTTACATATACCTTGGCGAGGAAGATTATTCTTCCGCCAGTATATTCCCAACAAGAGACATAAATGTGGTATAAAGTTGTTCAAACTGTGTACCGACAAAAGCTATACATGGAACATCATTGTTTATTGCGGGAAGTCTAACACAAATGAGAAAGATGTTTCTAAAAAAGTTTTTATGGATTTAGTTCAAAAATTGCTCGACGAAGGAAGAGTTCTTATATACGGATAATTATTACACCAGTATTCCACTGGTTTAATAATCGATACTGGTGTAAGTCGATGACTTAGGCACGCTTAGACTATCCAGGAAATATTTGACAAAAGAATTAAGTAGTGCTATATTAAAAAAAGGAGAACTTATAGCGATGGACACAAAGGACATAAAAATCGGCGTAACAAAGTGGAAAGATAGAAGATACAGAAACAGAAACTTTTTTATTCCAGCAAGAAACACTTTATTTTTTATATAACAGCTAACAATCATGTAATCACAATTAACCACACAAAACAAATTAGAAATAGCTTGGTAGCGATCACCTCATTCCCAGGGGTTATTATCATCTATACATTCCTTAATATTATAATAACCCTTTTTATACAAACTTTGTTTAATAGAGTGTTTGAACTTTGAACAGGTTAAATTTTGTATATTTTTTGGGATTTTGGGTACGACTTGCCATTTACTCCCATCGAGTTAGGCCGTACACATATGAATGTCCGAAATATTTGTTGCAACAATTTTCAACCGAGCAATTATATGATCAGTTCACATGCTGGGAGAAAAATGTATGTTTCCAGTTCCAGTGAAGCTTGCGCCAGCACTAGCACAGCAAAGGCTACAGAAAATTTTGACGGTGAAATTCTTAGTCTTTCTGATGCTTTGTTGCTGCTGGTAGCAAATTTTAACTGCTGATTTTTTTAAATTTGATACTCTATATACATCTTATGAATAAACAAATTGTTAAAAATTACGTTTTTATTTATTCATAGCAAAGTTTTGATGTTTGGGATACTTTAGGCTACCTCAGCTCAAATTAGGCTATATTGGGCTACTAAATTCGTGAAAAATGGCGATACCAAGTTCCAAGTTATTGACAACACTGAGTGTCAGTTTTACCATAGGAATTGACACTTGCTACCACAAACTATATAGAAACATGCTTGCTACATATATATTTATCTATGAATTGACATAAATATTGCAAAAATAATTGATATTCAATAATTTTTTTCTCAAAAAGTACGCGTTTCCGCATATTGAAACTTTGCAAAACGCTTTCTTTTAATGAGTACTAGGCTTAGCTTTCCATTTACTCCCATCGAGTTGGGGATTGATACGTATTTTTACATAAAAGTTACACTATTATAAGCACACACATAAAGTTTCAATATGCGGAAACACGTACTATTTGAGAAAAAACATTATTTGAAAATTAATTATTTTTGCAATGTTTATGTTACATTCCTAGCGTAAAACTGGCGCCATTTTGTAATGTCATTGTCGTCGTCAGTACGGATGTCGATTCTTTCCGAAAAAGATAGATTTTTAAATCGATTCTAATAGTAAGCTGTCGTGATATCACAAAAAATGGATTTCTAAAATATAGATATATTTTCCTGTTTGCATTTATAAGATACCATAATAAATGATTTCTTATGGAAAAAAGAAAGATAATACAATAAATGATCTCTTATCAGTAAAATCAGTTTTAATGGCGATTTTCAAGGATGTTTATTTTAACAGTACCTATTAGGGCAGATAATAAATAAAATAGGTTAGGTTCTACTTATGTCAAAGAACCAAATTTATTGACCCCGACTCCACATGGTACGAGTCTGTCCTACCCCTAGAGTGGTTATATAGAACCGGAGGCGCGTAGGGGGAGTAGCCTCCGCCTGCTGTAACAAATCGTAGGCATCGGACGAGCCGGAGCGGCTGAGGCTGATTGCCGAAGGCGACCAACAAGCCGAAGCTGCGGAGGCGAGGAGGGATGCCTGCGATTTGTTACGCAAAGGCGTAGAGGCTGCTCTTCCCGCAGCGCCGGAGACGTTGCAGTCTCAAAATATATACAGAAATCCCTCTGAATTAGTCCCCCTACACCTCTTCTCCCCCCCTCTCCCCTCAATTCGACGAATGTCAATGGAAATTCGTAATAAAGTAGGCTCAAAAGGGCTAGAACCCAGAGCCGTAAAGCCAGTTAAAAAAAACAACAAAATATTGTTAAAATAAGTGATTTTTATTAATTTATTTCTCAAAAAATACGTGTTTCCGCATATTGAAACTTTGTGTGTATGCTTATAAAAATGTAATCTTTCTGTAAAATACGTATCAACACCAAACTCGATGGGAGTAAATGGAAAGTCGTACCCCTAGAAATGCTATTCGGTAAGTTTGTTTGTATTTTCCATATACATATTAGGTATCAAGTTACTTTAACTTCTACATTAATAGTGTTTTTGTTGTACAATTACTACGGCCCCCACATTACACAGAATCCTGCTATTTGTTTTTATATACATACATTACATTTTTATAAATATATTGCGATGCCAAAGTTAATATGTTTATTTCTTTAAAATTTTCTCTAAGGGACTCTTTACTATTTAAGTTATAAATAGCCCATACGGCTCTCTTTTGCAAAACAAATATGGCTTGAATGTCAGTCACATTAACCCATATCAATATTCACGATTCAATACATTGAGATATAATGTACTACGTACTAGAGAAGACGCCTCAACTCAATTGTTTGTAACACGAGTTAGAGTGCGCGCTCTCAAACTCACTTAGTCTGTGTCAAGCGGTTGTTGCAACGTGAGAAGTTAGAGTGAAGAATTATTTTTAAATTAATATGCCTTCGTGTGCATTTAGATACTGTTCAAACTACTCGAGAAATATAAGGAAAAGTCAAGGAGTGAATTTTCACCAGTAATTTAAACTTATTATTATCTTTAAAACACGCTTAATTTAATTATATTTTATCAACTGCAACGTATACGTGAATGTCAAAGAGTAAAACATTTTTATGCGCAGACTTGACACTATCGACGTATAATGTTAAGTAATTATGAACAGTAAAATATTTATATATAATCACTGTAGGAAATGTTAATGCATTAAAATTTATATTTTTTATTATTATTTTTATTTAATGTTTTCCTCGGCTGTGTCATGAAACAAAATAATCATGGATCAAATTTGTTCAGAAGAATTGCAGCGAAGAAACGTCAGATTATTCACGCATATTTTCCGTGCAGTTCAAAAACAAATGACAAATATACCGCAAAAACAGGAAGAGTGTACTTCAAGAAATAAGCAGTACCATGCGACAATGTAATTATATAATTATATAACATTGCTGGGATTTTTGTTTTATTTTTTGATTAGACGACGAACGAATGTTTTGTAATGTTCAGTCTATTTACAGGACTTAAGAGAGACGGAAACCTCGGCGCGCGAGTCATTCTAGTATATGACGGTTTTTTAATACTGTGACACTAGAATTTTTGCAGGCTTCCCAAATAACTAGTATCTTTTTTCAGCCAACAAAATGTGGTGAACAGGAAGTATCAGAACCGTTGTCTGAATCAATAAGCAGTACAAATTCAAGTTTAGATAGTCGGAGCAAAATTGTACTTAAAAATAAATTACGCAAGTGATGTCTCCTAAGCTAAGTTTGAGTGATGTATACGAAGCCTAAGCTTTTAAATATAGTTCTACTTTAATAACGGAATCAATAATAATAGGTTATTATAAAAAGAATAAAATATAAGCACGTTGTAATATTGTGTTTGTATTTAATAGCAAGGAATCTGCAGCTAGAAAGAAAGTTACTGAGAAATTTAAGACAAAATATTTATCTAAAGAAAAAATGTGCTTCTTACAAATCAATTGTAGAAATTTTGAAACATAAATTCGGTCTCAACTTAAATGCTGAGATTGATTTAATGGGTAAAGCAGAAGTTATGGAGTAACATAAATCTTTAACGAAAAAGAATAAACAGAGCACGCATTATTAATTATACACTGTACGCACCTTTACGTAAATTCGCATTGATTTTACACTATTATTCACCAGCTGCGTATAAATACGTTAGAGAATGCTAGAAATGTAATAATAATGATCTTTGAAAATAAATGCATATTTTTATATTCTACATATTTACCTTTTAAAGTATTAAATAAAATATAATTAAAATATAATTCTGACAATAAATTATTATTTAAATTATTATAGACAAAAATATTATGTTACATTATATTAACACATTATGCAATATAAATAACAATTTAAAAAATTGTACTCGATACAATTTACAATATAATCTAAATAAACATTTACTTATTACATACTGATCATTCTACCTACGTATATATAATCTATGATGACAAAAACCGCGCATTCGCGACTGTACTATTTACCGCGCATGCGCGAAGACATAGAGTAGTGCACAGTTTTTGTTCGGAATAGCTTCTCTAGTACGTAGTACATTATATCTCAATGATTCAATACGACATTACACTATGAATGCATAGTATAATCAAATTTAAATACATAGGTAAGAATGCAATATGTTGTGTTTCAGCTGTGAATCATGGGCGAGATATTGCTTCCCCAATTCCCCTTGGTCATCTCTGAAATTTCAAGAAATGTTATATTCTGAAAATAAGATGCTGTGCGTTGAGGTAAATCACCTAATAATAATATGTTACTCTTCTGCTTCTTACAAGACTATTTTCAACAAGGACAAAAACATTAGATAGATAGATGGTAAGTGGTTGCTGTTACCCATAGACATCTACATTTATCCTCGTTTGCGAATCAAAATGCAGATGCGCTGCCAGCCGTGAGGACTAAGATGGAATGCCTCATTTCCAGTAAAAAGGGTCTCCCGTTCTCTACACTCACCATACGAAACACAGCAGCGTTAAGCTGCTATTTTACGCTGGTATTCTGTGAGAGCGTGGTCCATCCCCGGTCGAGCCGACCCATTCGTGCTACAACTATACCTACTAATATGGCTGCAACATGGCTATACCACGTATAAAATTATTGGACCAGCCATTCCAACTGAAAAATCGGTACCTACAATAAGAGTAAACAATATTGTTTCTTTAGAGTTGGTAATAATTAACAGTTTTATCTAGATTAATCATCATCTCAATTCTTGTAATTTCTTATTATATAGTAAGTAATACTCGTAAGTAGGTACCTCCACACTCACTCATTCACTCAAAGGCACAAATTAGTAATTAATTGTTAATGCTTTTGTTTCAGATGATTGTCTGTAAAGAAATACAGAAACAAACTTTAAAAAAAACAGACAGAGAAAATTATTTATACAAAAAATGTAGAAATCAAGTGAAAAAAATTTGTCAACTGAAAAAAACTATTCGGAAGATGAGAAAAGGAGATGCCCTCAACATTTTAGAAAACAATAAGTCTGTAGCAAAACTAATGCAGAGGCTGACGCCGTCTTTTGCGCTGATGCTACAGGCTCAATTGAAAAATGATGGAAAGAAATTTAAAGGCAGAAGGTGGACATTCGATGAAAAAGTAGTCGCATTGAGGTTATTTAAAAGGTCCCCAACGTGCTACCGATTATTAAGAAGGATGTGGTGCCTTCCATCACCTAGCACATTAAATAATTTATTGAGGTTATTTTCATTAAACGTGGGTATCAATGATAATATCTTTAATAGCCTAAGAGAAAAAGTAAAAAAACAACTGCCCTCAAATAATGAATACATATTGATATTTGATGAAATGTCTATTAGAGAACATCTTCAATATAATAATAAAGAAGATATGGTGGAAGGCTACCAAGACCATGGTGTCCATGGTCGAACAAACCAGGTAGCTACACATGCACTTGTGTTCATGGTAAAGTCAATCAGAGAACAAACAAAACAGCCCATTGCCTATTATTTATCCAGCTCCTATGTTACTGCGGATAGACTGAAAGTCATAATAAAAGAGGTATGTACCTAAAGAAATTATTTCTTTATGTTATGACACTAGCAGTGTACCGTGGTTCCACCCGTGTAAATCCCAATTTCGTGGAATAAAAAATAGGTTTTTTACTTAATACTTACCAAGTTTTAATGAAATCGGGCTATTTGTTTGGGAGATTGCCTGGTACAAACATCCATTCCAACTTACAAACACTTCTTTATAACATTATTTGGTATACTTAGATTGACTTAGAACTTTACTTAAAACCAAATATGTAGAAGCAAAATTATTTACTTTTCTGGTAACTGGAGCATGTCTCAAAATAGGACTAAATATATTGCTGCAACAATATGTGACATGAACGGTGTCAATAGAAGAGTTTTGACCTTATTGGGAGCCACTGAAGAATCTCCATTCTTCGGTATAAATGGGACGGAGGTGGTTGCGCTCTTTGATGCGCCACATTTATTAAAATGTTTTAGGAATATATTTTTAAAGTATAATATTAAATTTTCTACAAATATAAGATCAAATGAATCAAAAGGTCAAGGTACTAATAAATTCTTACAGTTTATATGTACATTATAAATTAAATAATTTGAAATGTTTTTAACTTGTATTTTTTTTTCAGGTATAGCTAAATGGAGTCACATTCAAGAATTTTACGAATTAGATCATAAAAATGAAATTTTTCGTTTTCGCACCTAAGCTCCACAGGGAGCATCTAAACCCAAACGCAAAACAAAAGATGCGCGTAAATTTGGCTGCACAGGTGTTTAGCCACTCAGTTTCTGCAGGCTTATATTCAAAAATATCTGACGGTACAGTATTTATATCTTGTCTGCTATCAATAATTATTATTGTTTTCTTTATTTCTTCAAGTATTTATTGTATTTTTGTATTTTATTAAGTAGTAGAGCCATGCTGCAGCTATATTAGTAGTATAGTTGTAGCACGAATAGGTCGGCTCGACCGGGAAAGGACCACGCTCTCACAGAATATGAGCGTCAAATAGCAGCTTCATGCTGCTGTGTTTCGTATGGTGACTGTAGAGAACCGGAGACCCTTTTTACTGGAAAAGAGGCATCTTAGTCCACACGGGTGATTCGCAAACGAGAATAAATGTAGATGTCTATGGGCCACAGCAACCACTTCCATCAGGTGGACTGTGTGCTCGTTTGTCACCCTATCCTATAAAAAAAAAGATGTAGTTGTGTTTTCTTTTTTCAGGGGTTCTCACTACTGAAGCTCTTGCAACAGCCGAGTTAGTTTCAAAAATGGACAAACTGTTTGACCTACTGAATAGCAGTACATCTAATTTAAAAAATGGTAAACCACATGCCACAAACATATCGAAAACATCTCCACATTGGGAATTTTTCAATGAAATGAGAGGATTCTTCAAAAGTTTAATATTAATAGGATGCCAGAGAGCACCACCTTCTATAATGGGTTGGTTATGGACTATGAATGGTGTAAAACATTTATATACCAATTTAACAAAAAAACACAAAAACATTCGTTCTATTTCAACCAGGGCTCTTCAACAAGACCCTCTAGAAAATTTATTTGGGGCTATAAGATCGAACTGCGGTTCTAACGTCAACCCAACAGTGCGCCAATTTGTGGCTGCTTTGAAAAGTACAATTTTTTCAAAATTAAATAGCTCAACGAAAGGAAATTGTGAAGAAGATAACAATAAAGCAATTGTAGAAAATTTTAAAAAACTATTAAATCGCTCACGAATATGCACAGTTTCAACTTTGCCTGAAAGCTCTCTTAGTGATGATTCTGCTATTGAAGATTTTATGTCATCAATAACAGAATCATTTGATGGCAGTGTTGGAGAGCCCTCTGCAGAAATGCAGGCCTGTGCTTATGTGTGTGGCTATATTTAAAAAAAAAAGCAAAAATACGTGTGAAAATTGCAATAAAAACATCACAACACAAAATGTTGACAATAAATTATATTTATTCAGCACTTATAAAGAATACAATGATTATAAAAGGGCTTTAAAATATGCGTCTGAAAAATTTGTCGAGTGTGTGGCAGCTTGTGCAAAAACTTCTAACGAAATCTTAAAAACTGAGAACCACACACTCGGTGTTAAGAAAATTGAAAAGGATAAATGTAAAAGATCTGTCAGTTTTTCTTTCTTAACTGATTGTCACAAAGCAGAAAATATTGAATTTATTGTGAACAGCGTATTTCATATCTGTATGAAACGCTTCTCTTTAATTAAAAATAGAGAATTTATAGAAGCAGCTTCAGCTGCTTCCTTGAAAAGAAAAATGGCAATTATTAAACATGTGTAAGCTATGTAAAACATGTTAATTCTTTAGTTTTAATAAATCAAGCGTTTTATACAGATATACATAGATTTACAATTTCCTTTTGATGAGTTGAAAATGGCTAATGCTTTCGTGTTTTTTTTTTGTTAAATTAGAATACAAAAATGTGTTATACCATTCATAGTCCATAGCTAACCTATCATAGAATGGGTGGAACTCTCTGGCATCCGATCAATATTAAAGTTTTGAAGAATCTTCTCATTTCAAACTTCCCAATGAGGTCTTCTATATGTTTGTTAATTAAAAGAAGAGCGAATTTACAGAATGAGCTTCAGTTGCTTCCTTTGAAAGAAAAATGGTAATAATTAAACATGCATAACTAGCTCCGCGGTTTCACCCGCGTAAGTCTGTGGTCGGGATAAGAGGTAGCCTATTCTTCAAGGTCCCATCTATTTCTATAACAAAATTTATCAAAATCGGTTCAGCTGCTTATTATATGATATTAGTTTAGATTCATGTCCCAGGCACTACAGCGTCCAGAATAGTTGGATTAAAATTAATGACGATATTAGATGTAAAAGCCAATTTTTCTTTTAAAACAAAACTCAAGATGCGAAGCTTCAATGGAGCCCCCATATATCTAAACTAGCAAGCAGACTTAGTTCTGCAGCATATGCTGTAAAAAAGGTTAGAAATCTTATCAGTGTTGAAACAGCTAGACTTTAGCTATTTCTATAGCATAATGTCGTATGGTATTTTGCTATGGGGACATGCAGCTGACACTGAAATTATATTTGTTTTACAGAAGATGGCTGTAAGAGCAATTTATAATTTAAAGCCTAAACAGTCGCTGCGATAAATATTTAAGGAAATTAATATATTAATTTTGGCCTCCCAATACATTTATGAAATTGTAATGTACGTACACAAAAATAAAAGTAGTTTTACAAACATAAGTGATATTCATTCTGTAAATACTAGGAACAGACACAAGCTAGTAGTACCAGTTACTCGACTCCACCGAGTCAGTAATTCATTCTTGGGGCGATTTATACGCTTTTACAACAAAATTCCAGAAAATATACAAAATTTGACTCGCTCAAAGTTCAAAAACTATTAAACTAAGTTTGTATAAAAAGGGTTATTATAATGTTAAGGAATTTATGGATGATACTCGTAATAACCACAGAATACTTTAATAATAACCCCTGGGAATGAGGTGATCGCTACCAAGCTATTTCTAATTTGTTGCGTTGTGTTAATTGTTTAACATACATGATTGTAAGCTATTTAAAAAAAACCGCTGGGTTTCTTGCTGGTTCTTCCCATGACAGTTTTTTTTTCGAACCAGTGGTAATTAAACAAAAGAGTGACTTTCAATAAGTATTATATATAATCTATATTGAATAAAAAAGTTTCTGTTTCTGTTTCAAATTGTCGACATTTTTTATATTTAAATTGAGTATATATTATTATAGTTATTTTCTATGTAAAAATTGTAAGAAGTTCGCATAATTTAAACATTGTTTTATAAAATATTAAATTACGCCGTAAAGTGTAATTCCAATATGCCAACTTATTTGAATTTAAAACATTTTAGTATAGTTTAGTTATATTTGTTTTTTCCGTATCTTTTTTTATGAAGAAATTAATTTGTAAACATAAGTTAACATTTACTTGCAATCCAAACTTATTAATTTGGATTCGTGATGTCCCAGGCACTACAGCGTCCAAAATAGCTGGCGTAAAATTATTGTCGTAATATTAAATCATCTTTAGATGTAAAGGCCAATTGTTCTATTAAAACAAAACTCAAATTGTCGACATGTTTTATATTTTATTTAAATTGGATACATGTTATTATAGCTGTGTGAATATTGTAAGAATTTTGCATAATTTAAACGTGTTTCATTAAATATTAAGTTACGCTACAACTGTAATTCCAATATACTACTTTTTTCTATATCTTTTGTAATGAATAAATCAATTTGTAAGCATAAATCATATTTTACTATAACTTGTATTCCTCGTCAGAAATACATAACTGTGATCGGTTCTGGTTTTTCCAAGATTTATTCTAATAGGAAATATGTTTCTAAAATAATTAATTATTATAATTCTAGAGATATGTTTATAGAAATAATGTTTAATTATAGAAACATATTTTTTAATAAAATAAATCTTGGAAAAATCAGATCGATGAAAAAAAATTTATTTCTGAGATTCGAATTTTTCCGCTCAAATGTTTTTATGTGCTCCAACGATAGATGGCGCTGAATTTTGTTCCTATCCATTTTATATGGAGTTAACATTCTTCTCCGCTAGGAGTAAAGTATTCTGTGGTAGGAATTGACATAAATTTGCAAAAATAATTGATTTTCAATTCTTTTTTTCTCAAAAAGTACGCGTTTCCACATATTATAACTTTGCAAAACGTTTTCTTTTAGTGAGTACTATCTACAAAAAAATAACATGGGCATTTAAATCGATGGTTCATATTGAAAATTTTAACCTTGATATTTTCATTATGCACGGTTATCTTACAAATCGACTGCAGTTTAGATTCCTGTTCATTCATTTCTACTGATATACAGCTATATCACCCTTGCTCTTCATAAAATAATCACAGAACACTACTTAATTTTTTAACTTATTACTCCTACGGAAATAATGCTCTGAAATATTTATTTACCAATATTTACTGACTGATCCACAGACTAACTAGTAGATTCAAACCGAATCAGACGGACAACTCACCAAAGAGTATAGTAACCAAGGAACATACTACTCTCTAACGATAGTAACTGTCTCACGAACTAAACTTACTCGACTTAGCTTCTACATCCTGATTGGTTGTAGCAAAATGATACGTGACATTTCTTTTTTTTAATTTGAAGTAACTATACCAGGCAAAGGACGTCCTAAATAACTTCATTTCTTAATTACTTGCAATTTTATTTTAAAATATTGAAACTAAAACGGGGTAAATGCAAATGAAACAATGTTGAAAGTTATTTAGTCACTTTATTTTTCAGATTTTTCTTATATTTTAAGAGAGCTTTACCTTGCTTTTCTGGTAGCTGCCTTCTTCTAAGTGAACAATATCTACATCTTTTAAATTTTTTTTTATAGGATAAGGGTGACAAACGAAGGATGATTCGCGAGGCTATTGAAATTAAAAAACATCCTAATTTCAATAGAGAAGATTGATGGGTGCTGCCATCTGCTTAGGATCCTATAATTAATAAAATTAAATCCAAACCCAAGCATACCACTGCAAGACTTCAAAATTCTGTAAGCTCATTCTGCGTAGATATTCAAAAACTGAAGGTATTCGGGCTAACTATGACATCGAGACGTCAAACACAGTCCCCCCCCCCCCCCCCGTAACCATGGGTGCTGTAAAGCACCCGAAACGTCGGGAATTAAAAAGTTAAATTAAACGCAATAAAATCCGTAAAAAGTAGTTTCATTTAATAGGTATGTACCTATTTATATTTGATAAATATTATATTAAAAAAAGAATTCCGGGAAACTATCCATGGCAGTAAATAGTTTTATCCAAAAGTCATATACATGCTCGAAAATACAACTTTTCGATCCAATTCTTGGGGAAAATATTGGAATTTAGTACAACTTGAAATATTGAAATTTAGTACCTGCATTTTGATGGATTTTATCCATCAAAAGGCAGGTAGTGGCGGTGAAAGAATATCCTATATCTACTATCCCTAATCGTCCCATGCGTGTCGTAAGAGGTAACAGAGAGAAATTGAAATAGGTGATGGGTGGTAGCATCTTTTTGATAACAACTCAAAATAATTAAAAAAAACTGCGGTTTACAACCCGCTCGTCAAGCGTGTCAACTATGGTAAAATCTTCCCTACGAGTCAATTTATGGGGAGGGCCTATATTTAGATGGATTTTTATGGGTTGTGATGGATGGTGGAAAAGTCAGGTAGGTGCAGCTTATTCGTGGCAACATGTTATTTGGATATTTTTTAATTATTTTAGAACTATCATGGTAAAAATTCAGTTAATTTTTAATAAAATAGGTTAGTGCACGAAAGTTATTCAGTTTCGTGCACTAAATTATTCTTTTTTATATTTTTATCGCTTGCTTAACAATCATTTTTCGATATTTCTTTTAAGTAAAATGCACATCACTTAGCTAACCCACACAATAACAAATCAAAATTTGTAACGCATTTTTGGTCTGTCAGGTCGTCTCTACGGCATTATATTCTAAGTCTATGACTATATCTATGGATTAGTTGGGTCTGCAATGTGGATCCCTAAATACAAGATTATTTTAAATTTTAACTCTCCCACTGACTCATCTGTATTCACAGCAGAGTCTTTATAGTTCGGCCGTTCAGAGAATGCGTTCCTGACACCTATCAGTTAGTCACGACTAGTGATGGGCACAACATAACACTGAGTTCGTTATCGTTCCTCCAAAATGAACCGCCGCGTTATTTTTAAGATTATTTTCGTTTTAAATTGGCGGAATCATTTAAAATTTATATTTTAGTAATTTAAGTGGAAAGCAAAAAAAGGTAATATTAATATAATAAAATTGTTTTATTTATTCTCTGTTACAAAGTTACAATCTGTATTTCTATGCAATAAAGTACATTGAATTGAATGTACGTACAGAATATTAATCACACTCCGATTCGCTTGAGGAGGGGGTGTCTTCATCATCATCTTCGCCTACATATATAATTATATTATTATCAATAACAGAATCAATCCTTATATCTCGGTCAAAATGTTCCACAATCAGGTTTTTAGTCTTCTCAACAACCTTTGCCCAGTCATCTCTTGTGACTTCCCCGCAGGCTTCTTTTAATAGGGTCATCATCTTTTTCGTGCTGAATGGCGGGGAAGTATTGTGGCGGGCGACGTAACCTTTTATTTGAGCCCAGATTAGCTCAATCGCGTTATATTGGCAATGATACGGTGGAATTCTTAGAACGCGATGACCGTACTCCAGAGCCAGTTCATCGATTTCGTATCGCACATTTGCCGCTTTATTTTCTTTAACTAATTTAATTAGCTCTGGTTTTAGCATCTGCATATTTGCGTCAATGCCTTTTGCTTGTAACCAAGCCACCACTTCTTCTTTTTTATTAGCTTGGGTAGGTGGTTTCTGTATTTGAACCGAGTGATAGGAGGCATTATCCATGAATATTACAGAAGGCTCTGGTAGGCTGGGCAAAAGCACGTTCTGGAACCACTCTTTAAATGTAGTGGCATTCATTTCCTCGTGGTAGTAATTTGTGGTTTTTGATTGAAATGCCAGTAACGCGTTCTCCACAAAGCCGTATTTTGCAGAACCTGCGTGGTATTATCAGACGGGCTCCCTTACCCATTGGTACTTTCGACGTCGACGCTTGTGTATCATCCGTCCAAGAACGGGAAACCGTGTGATTGGCGTTTAGCCATGTCTCGTCAATGAACACGACATTATCCCAGTTATCAATACTTTTTGCTTCTCTCAAAAAACTTATCCGTTTTAAAATTTTGTCGTATCGTTCTAATGAAATTTTTCTTTTGTCTGTTTTTTTATACGAAAAACCAATATCTTTTAAGATTTTGGTTAAAACAGTTTTACCCCCGTTAAACAGTCCAGCTTCTCTTAACGATGCCAAAAGCTTCTTCCTGTTGAGATATTCATTTCTGGAATAGTAACCATATATATGATTTCTGATTGCATCGGCGTCAAAGGTGTCAATATCTGTCACGGGTTTAGTTCTACGTTTCTTCTTCGGAGTACGTAAAATATTATCTTCCGTGCCAGTAGAGCCGAACTTTTCTTTATTAATATTTGTTATCGTTCGTTTGCTAACTCCAAGCGCCTGAGAGACGCGTTCTTGTACTTGTTCGACAGGTAACATGGGTCCGCCATTTTGCCGCTCCCGCTCAAAGTAATCTTGCAGCTTGATGATTAACTCACGGGCTCCACTTTTCAATGTTTGTCCACGTTTATGCATTATTATGCACCAAAAGTAAAAGAATGCAATACAAAACACAATCGAAATCCGATTTAGCGCCGATGTCAGTTTGAAAAGCAGAAACAGTCCATTAAACGAAAGCCGGGTAATCAAATAAAAACAGATCGAAAACACTTGAAGAACGTGGTCTATGCGCACGAAACGACACTGTTTTAGCGTCACAAAATGGCGGCCCATAAAGCCGTTTGGGGTTACCATTTTCAACCTAAGTATAAAAATGCTACTTTCTTTCGCGCGTTCGGTTTGGTCGTAGTTTTATTTTTATATTTAATAAAAGTTATCTTATAGTCCATTATTTTCAAATTCTTAAAAAGAAAAACAAAACGTATTATTTTATAAAGTATAACTGTATAAGAACAGATTACGATACTGTTATTGCCTGTTGTTGTTAGCACAGCACTACAAATATAAAGCGCTGACATAACCTTGTAATAGCGCAGTATAGATTTAGAAAAATATTGTTTACCAAGTTATTTGACACTCAGTTTGGCACAAAATTATAACATTCATTGAATATTGATATAATAATGTTGTTTTAATACTCATCAATTTTTAAAACGGTAAACAACCAGCAAAAATATTTTTATCGTAACTGCAACACCATTACAAAGTTACGTCGTCAGTTCAATCGCGACGTGTCAGGAACGCATTCTCTGAACGGCCGAACTTTAGCTATCTTAGAGGCAGTCTTCAATGCAGAACCGCAGAGTCTGGAAAGGACTCTCATTTTCGCAGACTCCCTTAGTTGCCTTCAAAGTATTGTATCCAGCCCTTTTCACTATAAGATAAGATACCCCCTAATTTTAAATATAGAAAGTCTCTGTACAGCTGCCACAAAAATATTCATCATTGTCTTGGCTTGGATATGTAGTCATTGCGGGATTCAGGGTAATGAAATTGCAGATCATTTAGCGAAAAAGCAAATTAGCACAAAATCTGGCTCCCTCCCTAAACCAGGCCTCCGTCACTCGCTCAAGACCCTGCGTTATATGCCTACCGTATTGCGTATCGCCCACGATACAACCGACATTGGGCTGCCGCACGCCCGCCTGAGCGCTTGCACCGCACACGTTTCCCGCGCTTACTCGTCGAAATGCCGAAACCACGTAATTATTGTGTAGTGGGTGGGTGTCAGAGTCAAAAAACAAATGAAAAATTGTCCTTTTTTTCTTAACTATAAGATTACATCGAAACAAAGCATAACAATGCTGTAATTTATAAATTGAATGACAACCATTTTCAAAGATAAAATTTAATAACCGAGAATTCAAATTGAAGGAAAACATGTATAAATCATTTTATAAAACTCAAACATATTTTATTGACAAATAAAAAATATGGTAATTTTGCAAGATTCGTTTTATTACAATAATCATCATAGGTACAACCCTAGAGCATTCGTGCGATGACGCGCTTGCATGTGAGTCGGTCGACACCGGTCGACACAATCTCGACTCTTTATGCGCGTATTTATGGTACATTTTCCTCTCGCTGCGAACAGTAGATATTATTATTAAGATTTTGTAGGCTATTATAGCGTAGGTATTTTCGCTTTTGTATGGGAGTGATGTATCTGTTTAGTAAACTATTAACTAATCTGTGCCTAAACAATGTCTGAATGCATATAATCTCCTGTCAAAGGCATGCTCCAGACTTCTGTCTTCATGGCAAAGTAATTGACATCAGAATAAACTATTAAAATGCATACACTATTGTTTTTTTTAAAGTACATACAGTATTCCAAAGTACAAATTAATATCCCATCTAAACCTTGGTTTTCTCAAAGTCGCGTCGCCACGTAAGTAAAGATATCACTTCTACTGTTCTTTGTCGCCTACGCTTGTACTCCAGTTCACTTGGCTAAGCTCAGGATTAGGGATAGCTCCATCTGTGAATGTGGCTAGACGAAGGATCTGTCAATCATCTGTTCTTTGAGTGTCCTAATCTTTCTCACTCTCTCCATGTTATCCTGCCCAATTACGTACCGTGTCCTGTAAATTTCCAATATTTGCTGTCCCTAATGTATAATCCCTTTCTAAATATTTTGTGTGATTTTATTCGTTCTAATAATATTAAGCTGTAAAATTACTAATCAATTTTGGTGAGCATATTTAGAAATGACGTTGAATAGACGTCTTCTGTTGTAGATTGTGAGTCCCCTCGTAAATTTGAGAACTTAATTATTTTTTATAGGAGGGACGGCAAACGAGCATGCGGCTCACCTGATGGTAAGTGACTACCGCCGCCCATGAATAAGTGCAACATCAGGGGAACCAGGGGAATTGCAGATGCGTTGCCGGCCTTTTAAAAAGGAGTAGGCTATTTTCTTGAAGGTCCCTAAGTCATATCGGTCCGGAAAAATTGCTGATGGTAATCGATTCCACAAGGAAGTCGTGCGAGGAAGAAAACATCTTCTAAATCGCACAGTGGTGGACCGCTAATCATCCAGATGGTGTGGATGGTATCGGGAGTTCTCCCGCGATATGTGTTCGTGAAATTTGGCGGCTGGAATTAATCCGAATAATTCTTCAGAGCACTCTCCGTGGTAAATGCGAAAGAAAATGCAAAGGGATGCAACATCTCTTTGCAGCGCCAATGAGTCGAAACGCTCTGCCCTGGATGCGGTTAAGTGGAAGGAGTTGGTACTGTGGTGTCCCGGCCCAGAGATGGGAACAATATTCCATGTGAGGCCGAACCTGCGCCTTGTAAAGTTGCAGGTATTGTGCCGGCATGAAATACTGTCCTGCTGTGCTCAGCACGCCAAGCTTTTTAGAGGCCTATTTGGCCTTCTCTTCCAAGTGACCACGAAACTGCGCGTCACTCGATATGTCGACGCCGAGGATTCCGATACTGGCTGAGGCAACAAGGGGACTGCTTTGAAACTGAGGAGATACGACAAAGGGGTATTATTTACTTGTCACTCCCATGACTGATTTGACACTGGCAGAATTCTATTAAGAGAAGCCATAATTTAAAACAAGATGTATTAGCTCAATGCTTAGCATGATATTAGTTTGTGGCAGATTCTCTGACTAGTATATAGTTATCTGTATGGCATATTAGTAAGAGAAATCGCCGATTACACCACGTCGGTGTTGTATTTGGGGTTGTCATACAATTTATAGCTTTAAAATGCTTACTAAATGTAAAATTATTATTTTATAACACTTTTCTGGATATAACATACAGATGCTTGTTTTTGGTTTTGTAATGAAAATATATGATTTTTGAAATTATGCCGTAACTAATCGATTCTAACCGAGTCGATTAAAGATTTTTATTTTGACATCAGTGACAACTGACAACACCATCACTTTATGTCATGCTAAAATTGACAAAAATACGCAGGTCGTACATACGTCAGAAAACGAATATTTTTTTCCGCTTTGGAGCATTAAATTTATAACCATCTCTGTTCGAAAATTGCGAACTATTTAAGTGTGAAATTTATAGTTTTTCTTAAAATCAACAACAAATGTGCTTTCAAAAGTATTTTCCCTGATAACAACATGACCTAACATCATTATTAATTTCCATTGTGTATACATAATTGGATGGTGGTGTATGTCTTACGCGGTGCTTGCGGCCGATAAAATTTTATTGTATTATAATAAATAATTTAAACAATTGCTAACTGAATTTTATCGAAGTTTTACAATGTGTGCACGGGTTCGTCTTTTTCAAATCAGTGGAAGCCTGCTAAGTTGATGACAGACTTGTGCGGCGTCAACAATTCTAACGTCTGTAAGTAGTTACTTGTTTCAATAAATTAGGTGTTTACATGAAAGCGTAATAACAGGGTGGTGTTAGTAATCCAATTACAAAACGGTGGTTCACAGATATAATATACTATTATTGTGAATACATAATGTGCCAGTAAGATTCTTATTAGAATTCTCGGTTGTAACGTTTTTATTTTGATATTGTTTAAGTTTAAGGACAGCTTAAGTTAAGTAAATAACTACTGAATATAGACCTAAACTTTAGTTCATAAATAAAATCTAATAAAATTTTATATAATTTAATTTTATATTTACATAATATGCTTTAGGGTTACCAACTGCTTTAGGGTTGTTTCTTTAGTTCCTCCACTAGTTTAAAAAAAAACCTTCCAGAATTTTATTCTTGAAGGGTTAAAGTCATCATCGAAAGTTAATAATACGCTACATTTTAAGGTAACTAATTATAGCCAAAATGTGTTTGCAAACATAAGGCATTTTTAGTGGTAGAGCCATGGTGCAGCTATAGTAGTGGTATAGTTGTAGCACGAATGGGTTGACTCGACCGGTGAAGGACCACACGCTCACTGAAAACTAGAGTAAAATTGCACTTTAAAGCTGCTTTGTTTTGTATGGTGTGTGTGGAGAACCGGAGACCCTTTTTTCTGGAAACAAGGCATTCCATCTTAGTTCTCAGTGGTGACAAAGCATCTGCATTTTGATTCATAATAGAGGATAGATGTAGATGTCTAAGGGCCACAGCTCCCACTTACCATCAGGTGGACTGTGTGCTCGTTTGTCACCCTTTTTTTTCATCTTCCTTTATGGCGGTTATGATGAATTTGCCAATGATGATATATTACATGTGAAAAGGTTAATTATATTATATTATATTAATCCTATAAAAAAATATGAAAATATTTTTAATTTATCTTACTAGCTACTTACATTTTTTACATATTTTTGTCCCTATCCCTAATTGAACTTATAATGTTACTGAATACTTCATTGTGTTAAATAACTAGGTAATGAAATTTGGCTCTATTTTAAAGCTATGTTAAAAGGTTTACAATATACAGAATTTAATAGAAATCAGCCAGAAAGGCATACAGCATTTGACTTATCATTTTATAATTATCATTTACCAAATATGTCAACCAAATTTTTTTTATAGAAATACTAGGTGCTCCATCAGAGAACCAACCGGCTAAAACATTATAAGCCCACTCCCTTACCCCCACCCACCATCTCCAAGAGTATCACAAAACAGAGTTCTAAAGCACTTGCATCCAGTGATTCATTGCACATCTCATCAAATCATCATGCTTAGTGAAGGACTGCTCTCTACTGATCTTGACGATATAAGGCTGTCACTCAAAACTTGTACTTATTTATAACACAATATATAAATAGACATTACCATACTTTAATTATAGACCATTTAAATTAATTTATAGAACACTGTTAACAGAATCAGGTGTATTTTTTTTTATAGATAAACAAACACACAGTCCACCTGGTAAGTAGATGCTGTGGTGCAGAGACATCCATATCCACATCTATCTTTAATTAATAAACACAATGTAGATATTCTGACATGACAATTGTCATCTCTGAGGGTTGAGATGGAACTTCTCATATAGAAATAGAATAGCCATGGAGTGGTGGAACAAGAGAATCTACTACCCAATTTTTTTTTGGACTTTATGGCCTGGTATGATATGACCTAGACCTTTAGGCCATTACTACCCAATATCACCAGTGGGTGTTGTTAGAGCCAACAGAAGAAAATTAAACAGAAAATAGGCAGCTACATCTTGCTGATAACAACTCAAAATAATATAAACTCAGTTGCCAACACACTTGCCAAGGTGGGGTAACTATATAAATCTGGCAGACTTGTGCTCAGCTGTGGACTTTCATAGGCTATAATTAATGAATCCATTACCCATGTATTCCAGAGAGTCAAAAGCTTTACTGTAGTCTATAAAAGCACATTAATTCAGTATTTGATATACCGTCAACTGTGGCAACATTACCATAATGTTTGACGTTTTGCAATCTATGCAAACGTAGATCTAGTTATTTAAGTTTTTATTGATTTATTTTGTAAAAAAGGTGTCTCTCTTTTGGTTGAAACATTGAATTATACTAAATATCACATAGAATCGCAATAATAACCAAGAGTATGAGAGGTGTAATATTGACGTATTTTTGGCAACTACCTGGCCTACAGTTTGCATTGAATGTGTGTCCCAGAGTGCAAGCGACGTAAAGTTACCAATTGTCCTTACCCTAAAAAAATGATGTATTTAGTTTTCAAGTCACCATCTTTATTTAAGTAAGAGATACTAATACATACATAGGTAAAAATTTCAAAAATATTATAGAAATGGGTGGATGTCATCAGGGTTGTCAAAAAAATAATCAAACAGAAAAATAAAATAAATAAATGAAAAAAGGAATAAACACAGTAACAAAAACTATTCTAGAAATTAAAACTTCGTCTAAAACAGTTTCGTAAGAAGTTGTATTTTTGTTTCTAACCAACAGCCAATAATAGCATTTCCTCAAACTAATTTTTGTAACTCGGCGCTCCCCAATGTCTTCTATTTTATTGTTTGACATAACTTGGGGCCATCTTGAATATATCTGAAATAAATAATCAGGTAAATTGATTACTTCTGTATTTTTTTCACACCAAAAGATTTCATATAAAAGAATAGAAAAAAAAGTTTGATAGGTGTTATATTTAAAGTTACTATTCTGAATAACTGAACAAAATTTTTAAACAGTTACCACACAAAACCAGATTACTAATGTGTGCCAAATTTGACAACCCTAGCCATAGGTAAAGTTGCCTTCATGTGTGGTAACTTTACCTAAGCTCAAGCAACATTATCTTTTCCAATAACTCAAAATATAGAAGATTTATAGGATTGAAGCATTGTGATACACCTTAATAACAATATATCATATACTATTTAATATAAGCCACTTACCTGCACTTTGATTTTCTGTAAGAAATACCAATCTTTATGCAATGACGCTGCAAACATAATTGACCACATTTAATGAAAAACCACACTAATTTGACAATTAACGAATTTGCTAGCTTGAAAAACTTTTTAGAATACCACAATTTATTATAAAATCCAGGAATATGTTTAAAATTGCGTCAACTGCGAGACAAAAAAATATTTAATGGGAACTATTATAGGGTATGTTTGATAAAGATGCCCACGGACAGTAAAGACGCCACAGATGATGTGTCAGCCACAGATATACAAACTAGTCTTGTGCCTGCTTGTTCATTTTAAAGATCGCTCTGTTTTATTTCATTACGGACAGTGAACTAGTTCGTTCTATTAGCTCTATTCGGTCATCAGTACTACTATAGTTTAAACTGTATCTATCTGCAAAATCTCTATGGAATGGTTGTCTCAGTCGTTCGATATGTGCTTGAATCGTAATGTTGTATTATCACTTGTGCACACATCGTTGATAATTTCTTGGTCAAAATAAAAATGTTAAGCAAATTAGTGTTGAAAAATAATTAACCGTAGTGAAATAAAATCTCATATCCATAACATGCGAAAATAAAAAGCATCCAAGGAAATCAATATTAAAAAATTAATAAAAAGCACAGAAAATACTCCTCAATAATTGTTATGACCATAACTTAAATTTTGTTACATTTTTACGCCATCGCAAGTGCCGAAACGAAGTGTGGAAAATGTGTTTTGTATCTATTTATTAAGTATAATAAGTGTGATAATTTTAATAATGTTCGTTTGTATCTATTTATTAAGTATAATAAGTATGATAACTTTCCGATGATAAGCTAAATTAGACGTTATTGCATTAACATACCTAACATGTTTATACATATAATGTCTCATTTTAACGCATTTGATCAATGGTAACATTGTAGTCATACGTCGGCTCTTCACCGAATCTCTCACTCACTGACTCTCTCTTCGCTTGCTCATTCTTGCTTCCCCGGCTCAAACGTGCGGTCTTGTGTATTGCAAGTGTAGGTGTACGAAAAGAGCTGTTAGACCGATTAACAATCAGCATTCGAAAACGTTTCTTCTAGTACAGTGCTAAGATACTTTTTCTATTTGTTCTTCATTCGCAAACTACACAAGACTAATGCAAACTTAAACTGGGAATCCACTTCTAAACCCTGCATGTTTCGATTGATTGAAATCTATCTACAATAGGACCTTTTTAATCTGAACTTGGAAAATTTACCCCATTCGGATTCGTGGAGCGTTCTGATTATAGTACAGAGAAGCTGTACCTGAGGGTATTTTTTATGAAATAAATCAAATAGTATATTCATCTATAAATTTAAAATTTATTAAACTTTATTACGAATTCCAATATTTTAGTTTGTCGGGAAGTATTTGATGAAAAATAAAAGCTTTGTCTCGCAATTTACGCAATAGCATTTTTTCTGGCACAGGAGTGTCCACTTGGTCAGCCCATTCAAGGCATATATTTAAGGCAGACACCACACTTGAATTGGATACGCTTGCTACTGGTTCAACATGAAATATTTCTTCACTTTCGCTGTCACATTCTTGTGTTACTTGCCTTATTATTTCATCGTCAGTAACTAAGCATGGGCTTTTTCAGTTTTTACCTGCAATGGTTACATAACAGCAACGGTTAGATATCAGCAGTAATGTTTTGCTACTGAATGCGCAAAGGACAACCGAAACATAACCGAAAACTGGTTCTAGTTTTCGGATTATTTTAGTTTAAAAGATAGAGGCTCTAATATAATCTTAGATGCAATATTTAGGACATGAATGTTAATATATAATTTATGTAAATTCATTCTTATGTAGTAATATAGTCTATATAGAAAATTATTTTAAACTACCTAAGTTTATTTAATCATGATTATTTTAGTTGGCGATAATAATAATAATAATTTCTTTATTTGCTTAGAAACATAGTATTATAAGCTGGTACAAGTTTGACAGAGCGCATATTATGTTTGATTTTTCTTCA